TGTAGGGCTGAACTCTGGGCATGGGTGCTGTCCCTCAGCTCTTCAGCTCAAGGCTAGAGCTCTACCACTTGAGCCACAGTGCTGTTTCTGGCTTTTTCTGTGATTTAATTGGAGATAAGAGTCTCATAGACTTTCCTGACTGCCTGGGCTGGCTTCAAACCTTGGTCCTCAGATCTCAGCCTCCTGAGTAGCTAGGATTACAGGCATGAGCCACTAGTGAGTTGGGTTGGGTGTGTGAGTATGTATATATATACACATATATATGCATACATATGAATGCATATATGTGAATGTATATGCATGTATGTATATATACATGTGTATATGTACGTATACGTATGTATATATGTGTATGTATATATGTGTATATATGTATATGTATACACACACACCATTCAGGGAATAGTCTGGGTATATAATGTGTAATGATAAATCCTTGTTTTTACCTAAATTTTATAGGTATAGCTAGGCACTTCCGTTTTGGAAACCAAGAAGATGCCCATGAGTTCCTTCAGTATACTGTCGATGCTATGCAAAAGGCATGCTTGAATGGCAGCAATAAGTAAGTACAATAGGTAGACATTTCTTCATTTTGCATCGGGGCTGTTTTGCTTTTTGTGGGGGCCAGTGCTGGAGTTTGAACTTAGGAACTTGCACTTGCTAGGTCAAGCTCTACACTTGTGCCACACCCTCACTCAGTTTCACCTTTTATGTTGAATGTATACTAATCTGTTTACCTTTTGGCTTTGCCCCATATCTTCCCCAGCTGATTTTCATTATTTTAAAATGAGTAAAGTTTAAAGAGATGTACTTATTGTAGCAGTTTGAATTTGTTCAGTTACAGTGTTAGGAAATAAATATTGGTTTTATTGTTTAATCTCTGGTATCTGCATACCTTGGCAGATTTAAAACTAGCTGCTTCTCTTTTCTAGTTGTGACTGATATTTTCTATGTTGATTTCTGGCCTCATAAATGTTTGTCCCCTCATATTCTGCCCTATGTTACCAGTTCCTAAAATAGCTTCTTCCTAAAACCTAAATACAAACTCAAGAGAAACACTATGGAGATAATTGGATAATTAGCCCTAAAACACTTGAGGTAGCCTTCTTTACCTGGTATGTTTCTCCTTGCACTCTAGTTCACCTGGTCCAGGTCTTTGTGGTCTGTCTGTGACGTGAGGCTTAAAATAGGGGAAAGCATTCTGCCTGGCTCCTGCACAGGGTCACAGTCCTGCTGAGGCATTTGCCTCTTGCTTCTTTGCTTCAAGGCCAAATCCCTGCCTTCATAATATAACTCCTTCCATCCTCTTCACAAACCCTCACCGGGTTCTGTCAGGCAGCACTGGCCTCTGGTTTTCATATACCCAATTTTGTGGTTCTCTGAATTCTTGTTATTTAATGTGAATATACATGCTTTAATAATTGCAACTGTAAATTTTACATCACTGATTGTTTTTCAGATTAGACAGACATACCCAGGCCACTACACTTGTTTGTCAGATATTTGGAGGATATTTAAGATCTAGAGGTAAGCTTTTGTTTCATAAACTGGTACATACATGTGACTTTAAAAACTGATCAAGATGCACTGTCCTCATAAGCTGACATGTTGAGTTGAAACCCCTTTATACAACTACTTGAAGATTATAAAAACAAAAATACATAAAAATGCAAATAGTAGGAAGGTGCTAATAATGAAAAGTAGATTTCTGGGTCATCTTGGATTCCTGTCCCCTTCCCCAAAGGCAGCTCCAATAACTGGTATATCCATCTAGTAGTTTCTTAAGCATGAACAACCTGGGGTCATACTTTGTGTAGAACTTCCACTTTTCTCTCAGTGTCTGCAGCAGTAAAAGGTCTGAAAGCATTTGTCACAGTAATGTTGACCCTGAGTTTTTGTGCTCAAAGCTAGCACTCTGCCACTTGAGCTGCAGCTCTATTTCCAGCTCTTTTTGTGTTTAATTGGAAATAAGGATCTCACAGACTTTCCTGTCTGGGCTGGTTTCAAATTGCGATCCTCAGATCTCAACTTCTTGAATAGGATTATAGGCATGAATCACCCCAGTGCCTGGCCATGGTGTGTATTTTAATTTTAATACTATTCTGTAGTTATTCAAGAGCTTATTCCAATTTGTATTCCAACTAGTGGATGTGGGCCCAGTTTACACTTTCATTCACATTGTGAATGAGATTTAACTAATTTTTTTCTCAACCTAATAAAAGAAAAATGGTGCTCATTTTTTAATTTGAAATAGTATTTATATTGTCATTTATGTAGTGGTACTGGTATAATTACACTTATTGTTTGCATTTCACTTTTTATTTCAGTCAAATGTTTAAACTGCAAAGGTGTTTCAGATACTTTTGATCCATATCTTGATATAACATTGGAAATCAAGGTAAATAACTTGATAATAAAATAAGGTAATAATTTGTGGGGACTAAGTTTAAGATCTTGTTATTACTTTTAGACTTTTCATTAATAAGTCTTTTTTACTTTTAGACTTTTCATTAATAAGTCTTCATTAATAAGTCTATTGGGATTTGACCCTGGCCTTGTCCTTAATCAGTTAATTTTAATAAAACCAGATTTTTATTCTTTTTTTTATTTTTATTTTTGATCAGTTGTGGAAATTGAACTCAGGGCCTGGGTGCTGTCCCTGAGATTTTTGCTCAAAGGTAGCACTCTACCACTGTAAGCCACAGCTCTACTTCTAGTTTTCAGGTGGTTAATTGGCGATGAGTCTCACCAACTTTCCTGCCTGGGCTGGTTTTGAACCATGATCCTCAGATTTCAACCATCTGAGTAGCTAGGATTCAGATAGATAGCTTGCTTTTTATAAAATAGTATTGTGCACTTGCTGTTTACAGTGACCTTGCCTTATTCTTCTGGCATCCATTGAGTGAGTGTGTCATAGTTTATACACTTGGCTCCTTTCTGGTCCCATTTAGATGCTATTCTCAGTGAAACTGCAGCGAGCAGGCCCTTTGTTTTCTTTTCTTTTTTTTTTTTTTTGGGTCCAGTCGTGGGGCCTGAACTCTGGGCCTGGGTGCTGTCCCTTAGCTCTTCAGCTCAAGGCTAGCGCTCTACCACTTGAGCCACAGCGCCACTTCCGGCTTTTTTTTTTCTTTTTGCTTATGTGGTGCTGAGGAATCAAACCCACGGCCTCATGCATGCAAGGCAAGCGCTCTACCACTGAGCCACCTTCCCAGCCCGCCCTTTGTTTTCTTTAGAGTACTGGGGATAACCTGGCATATAAGGGTTCTGCACAAGAATTCTCGTTTGCTTTCCTCCCTGAGCCCACATGGCAGTGCACGTTGATATGTTTATATCTTTTCTTTCCAGGCTGCTCAGAGTGTGAATAAGGCATTGGAGCAGTTCGTGAAGCCAGAACAGCTAGATGGAGAAAACTCCTACAAGTGCAGCAAGTATGATAGAGGGTGACCTGTTGGGCCTTGCTTCCTGCTCCCCCCATGGTGTGAAAGAGTTGGGTGTTCCCAAACTACTCACCAGCTTTCCTGTAGCTGCTCGAGCCATCTGGGGAGGCCACAGCATGCAGTGTCAGTGTTGGCACTCTCTAAGATGCTCAATTCTGTGCCCTTGTTAAGCCAGTACTTCACCACAGGACCAGCTGTGGAGGGAGAGGGCAAAATAATGTGCTGGACACTAGTGCAGTTGCATAGGTGATGCAGGGAGCCAGGAGAGCTTCTTTGCTGCTTTCCCTGGTAGAAGAGGATTGAAATAATGACACTTCCTCCCAGGGGAGATCAGGGTATTTCCCTCTCATGGGTATCCAAGGTATGGTGAGTGTCTGCTGGAAACATTTTACATTACATTATTCATATATTTTACATGTCTTTACATATTTTAAGTAGATTGCTACTTTATAGTCTGGTTGGGATATGGGGCTTTAGCCCAGGCCTTATTCATGTGAGGCGAGCACTTCACCATTGAGACATATCCCTGGCCTAAATTAATTTATTTTGAGATTATTGGTGGCTTCTGTGTTTGGTGTTTCAGATTTGCCCTACCTGTTTTTAGGTGTTTTTTGTTTTTTTTTCCCCCCAGGGCTGAGGACTGAACCCAGTGCCCTGGGCAGGTGCCCTTCCACTGGGCTAAACCCCCAGCCCCTTTTTTGGTGTTTTTTTTTTTTCCCCCTTTTCCTTCCTTTTTCTTTATGAGACAGGGTCTCCCTATGTAGCCCAGTCTGGCCTCAAACTTGAGATCTTCCTGCTTCATTTTTCCCAGCACTGGAATGACAGGTGTGTCCTACTGTGCCTAGTCTATCTTCTTTTTTTTTCTTTTTTATGCATTCAGCAATTTCCCTTAAAAAAATTTCTTTTGATTGAACCCAGGGCCTTGCATATGCTAGGCAAGTCTTGTATCACTCAGCCACATCCCCAGACCTCTTGGAATGTTTAATCATTTTATTTATTTATTTTATTTATTTATTTTTGTCGGTCGTGGGGCTTGAACTCTGGGCCTGGGCGCTGTCCCTCAGCTCTTCAGCTCAAGGCGAGCATTCTACCACTTGAGCTACAGCGCCACTTCTGGTTTTCTGGTGGTTTATTGGAGATAGGAGTCTCACAGTCTCTCCTGCCTGGGATGGCTTTGAACCATGATCCTCAGATCTCAGCCTCCTGAGTAGCTAGGATTACAGGCTTGAGCCACCAGCACCCATTTTAATATTTGATATAAGGGGATGGTGTTTCTCATCTAATATTCCTATTGTGGAATCTTTGGTGTCTGCATGTCTGTGTGCATGTGTGTGCCACTACTTTAACTCAGGGCTTATACTCAGGCCTCTAATTGGTTGATTTTTCTCATTATTCCACTTGAGCCATTCCTCCACTTCCAGCTTTTTGCTGATTAACTGGAGAGGAGACTCAGCTTTATTTGCCCCATCTGGCACAGAAACAAGATTTTCGAATCTCAGCTTCCTGAGTAGCTAGGATTGCGGGTGTGAGCCACTGGTGTCCAGCTATTGTTTTGGAATGTGTGTGTGTGTGTGTGTGTGTGTGTGTGTGTGTGTGTGTTTTGTCAGTGGTGGGGCTTGAACTCTGGGCCTGAGTTCTGTCCCTCAGCTCTTCAGCTCAAGGCTAGTGCTGTAACACTTGAGGTACAGTGCCACTTCCGGTTTTCTAGTTGTTTATTGGAGATAAAGAGTTTCATGGACTTTCCTGCCCGGGCTGGCTTTGAACTGCAATCCTCAGATCTTAGCCTCCTGAGTAGCTGAGACTACAGGCATGAGCTACTGCTGTGTGTTGTTTTTGTACATATGTGTCTGCCACTTCTGAGGCTTGAACTCAGAGTCTAGGTTTTGTCCCTAAGCTTCATTTTGCTCAAGGCTAGCACACTGCCATTTAAGCTATAACTCTACTTCATCTTTTCTGGTAGTTTGTTTGGAGGTAATTATCTCATGAATTTTCCTGCCTCGGCTGGCTTTGAGCTGTGATCCTCAGATCTCAGCCTCCTATGTAGCTAGGATTCCAGGTTTGGACCACAGGCACCTGGCTTGGAATCTTAATTTATGATGTCTCAGAAGAATAAGAAGGGAAAGATTAAAATATCAAAAAAGACACATCATAATCTTGTTTTTCTGTGTATTTTCAGGTGTAAAAAGATGGTTCCAGCTTCAAAGAGGTTCACTATACATAGATCCTCCAATGTTCTTACACTTTCCCTGAAACGCTTTGCAAATTTCACAGGGGGAAAAATTGCTAAGGTATGTAGATGATGTTATTAATAATTTTTGTGTGGAGGCTTTCATGGCTTAAGTGTCAGCAGCTGTTAAGAGTTATAAATGACTTAATCCAATAGTTTTGTTGATAGTTTATTGATATTAATAGTTTATTATGGTTTCATTATAGTTTATTCTAAACTCCCTGGCATTTGGTAGCAGGCAAAAAAGGTCAGGGGAAGGAGCTTATGAATGCATGTATTTTCTCTGTGTCCTCCAGCTGGTTACACTTTCTAGTGAAGAAACTGCTTTTAGACTTCATATTCACTTCTCTGGTATCCATGGTATGGAGGTGATAGAGGGAGAACTTGTATAGTTTGAAATCCAGAAGATGGCTGACCGCCAGTGGCTCATAGCTGAAATCCTTGCTACTGATATCTGAGGATTCCAAGTTCAAAGCCAGCTGGTACAGAAAAGTCTATGAGACTCTTATCTCCAATAAACTACTCAACTGTGGCCCCTCCCCGCCCCCCGCCCGAAATGGCACTTAGGAGCAAGTGGTCCTGGAGCAAGTGCTAACCTGGAGCCTAAAAACTTAGGGACAGCACTTAGGCACCTAGGCCTTTAGTTCAAGCCCTAGTTGCAACACACACACAAAGGATTTCACTGACAGATGTTTGCTGTCTCATTTTTTGGTGTACATTAAACTTTCCTGTTTTCTGTTTACCTAGTAAAGGCTGCAAATGACTAAAAGCTCAGCATCATGAGAGAAATAATTAATACATTCCTGGGTCATTTAAAATAAAAATGTATTAATTTCCAGAATTGTCATTCTGTGCTGGTGAGCTGTAGCAATGGCAGCTGGCAGATCATCATTCTGTTTACTGTCTCCTTTGGCAAATTTGAAGAATTCTCTAGACGATTGCCTTAAAATACGTTCAGATTCAGATGTCCTTTGAAAGGTGGTTGAACATGTTTGCTTTCTGCCAGAACATCACAGTGTCCGTGGATCACCCTCCCCCCCCCAAGACAGCCCTGTTCCTAAATATGTAGCACAGTCTGTGCCTTCAGAGATGACCTTCATTCTTCCTCTTTCCATGTCTGTTTAGGATGTGAAATATCCTGAGTACCTTGATATTCGGCCATACATGTCTCAACCCAATGGAGAACCAATTATTTATGTTTTGTATGCAGTGCTGGTACACACTGGCTTTAACTGCCATGCTGGCCACTACTTCTGCTACATAAAAGTAAGCTGGGTGGGATCGCTCTTTGTGGGTGAATGGTGGAACTTTTACAGTTAAAAGTGGGACTGTCAGCTGGCCACGGTTGGCTCAGATCTTTAATTCTTGCTATTTGGGAGGCAGAGACTGGGGAATCATCAGTTTATACCAGCCCAGGCAAATGAAGTTGATGAAACTCCATCTTGACCAGTGGCCGGACACTGCAACGTGTTCATGTCATCCCAAGCTACAGGGAAAGCAAAATGGCCTGGCAACTTGGCATGTGACTATCATTCCAATTGGTGTGAGAAAGCACAATTAGGATACCAGTCCAGGCTGGCCTGACCATAAAGCAAGACCCTGTGGCAAACAATAACCAACACAAAAAGGGCTGGAGGACTGGCTCAATGCCTGCTTAAAAATTGTGAGGGACCAGGTACTGGTGGCTCGTGCCTGTTATCCTAGCTACTCAGGAGCTGAGCTCTGAGGATTGTGGTTCAAAGCCAGCCAGGGCAGAAAAGTCCCTGTGAGACTAATCTATAATTAAGTATTCAAAAACCGGAAGTGGTGCTGTGGCTCAAGTGGCAGAGCCGCTAGCGTTGAGCACTAAGAAGCTCAGGGACCAGCACCAGGCTCTGAAAAAAAGTTATTTAAAAAGTGTGATGAATGTCTGTTCTGCTTATATGTTTCTTGACTGTGTTCTTTGTTAATGTAAATCTTTCCATTCTTACTGGCTCTTTCTTGCAGGCTAGCAATGGCCTCTGGTATCAAATGAATGACTCCATCGTGTCCACCAGTGATATTAGATCAGTACTCAGCCAACAAGCTTATGTGCTCTTTTATATCAGGTATTGTCATAAAAACAAGCTTTTCTGTTATCTCTTTTCCTTTCATCAACATATTTAAATTTGGTTTAAGTTAGTTTTAAAAACAGCAACTTGCCGGGCGCCAGTGGCTCACGCTTGTAATCTTAACTACTCAGGAGGCTGAGATCTGAGGATTGTGGTTCAGAGCCAGCCCAGGCAGGAAAGGCTGTGAGACTCTTATCTCCAATAAACCACTAGAAAACCAGAAGTGGCTCTGTAGCTCAAGTGGTAGAGCTCTCGCCTTGAGCTGAAGAGCGCAGGGATAGCACCCAAGCCCAGAGTTCAAGCCGGACAAAAAAAACAAAAAAGCAAAAAAAAACAAAACAAACCCCCCAGCAACTTGAAGATGAATGCCATGTTCCTTAAGAGGAAAGATGTTTCTGAATAGAGTTGGGGAGTTGTCATTGCTTTCCTGCTCTGGCAGCTCAATACTAAAAGGTGCAGAAGGACAAATAGATGCCAGCTGGGGGACTTGTACTTCTGGCTGCAAACCAAGTGGCACGAGGGGCTCTGGAGGCAGGATGGGGCTTTGTGAAGGCGTGCTGGGTACCCTGCGTGGTCATAGCTGGACTTCTGCACCACTGAGCACACCTGTCATCAGGAACCCGTCTAGCCTGGCACAGTACTCAGGTCTCTGTTCTGTTGAGGCTGCAAACTCTGACTTACTAGTTCTGTGTTTAGAAAAAAAATCTGATGCATGCTCCAAGCCTTCCAATCCTCCACCTCCTTTTAATGGTGTTGTGGCTTAAACCCAGGCCTTTAGATATTCAAGGCAAGCTCTCTACCAGAGCTAATTGGGCATCTTTTTTTTTGTCAGTTATGGGCTTAAACTCTGGGCCTGGGTGCTGTCCCTTAGCTTTTCAGCTCAAGGCTAGCACTCTACATCTTGAGCTGCTATGCCACTTCCAGTTTTCTAGTGGTTTATTGGAGTTAAGAGTTGCATGGACTTCCTGCCTAGGCTGGTTTTGAACCGTGATCCTCAGATCTCAGCCTCCTGAGTAGCTAGGATTACAGGCATGAGCCACCAGCACCCAACAAGACATTTTTTTTTTGGGGGGTCCGGTCATGGGGCCTGAGCTCTGGGCCTGGACACTGTCCCTCAGCTCTTCAGCTCAAGGCTAGCACTCTACCACTTGAGCCACAGCGCCACTTCTGGCTTTTTCTTTTTGCTTATGTGGTGCTAAGGAATTAAACCCAGGGCCTCATGCATGCAAGACAAGCGCTCTACCACTGAGCCACCTTCCCAGCCCCAGCAAAACATCTTTTTTAGTTGCTTTATTCATTTAGGTCTTTTATAGTTTTTTTTTTCTTTTTCCAGAGCTGAGAACTGAACTCAGGGCCTTGTGCTCGCCAGGCCCTGCTGAGCTTAACCCCTAGCCCCAAGGCATCTTTTTTTTTTTTTTTGGGTCCGGTCGTGGGGCCTGAACTCTGGGCCTGGGTGCTGTCCCTCAGCTCTTCAGCTCAAGGCTAGCACTCTACCACTTGAGCCACAGTGCCACTTCCAGCTTTTTTCTTATGTGGTGCTGAGGAATTGAACCCAGGGCCTCAGGCATGCAAGGCAAGCGCTCTACCACTGAGCCACCATCCCAGCCCAAGGCATCTTTTTTAATAGCTAAAAATGTAGAATTTTCCAAAACATCCAATGAGGACAGATGATTGTACGTCGGTCTGTGTGATAAAGTATTATGTAGCTATCAAGAGTGATTTTTTTTTTCTTTTGAGCCGGGGTTGGGGGAGTTTCCCTTGTTCCAGCCTGGCCTTGATCTCGTAATCTTCCAGCTAAGTGATTTTTGAGGAAAGAAGTTTGAAATATTAAAACACTGGTGTTTAAAACAATGTTGTGGATAGATAATGTTTTCTTCTTAACTTTTTTGGATCTAACAGAATGTTTGTTTCTCTGCGGTTAGAACTCAGGGCCTGTACTTGCTGGGCAGTTCTCTGCCACTTGACCCACATCCCCTCAGCCTTGGACCTGGTTTTCTACAGTGGTACACATTTGTTACTAAATATAAATAATTAGAAAAGTAGGTTGTTTGCTCATTTGTTTTGTTGGTTGTGGGGCTTGAACTCTGAGCCTGGGCGCTGTCCCTCAGTTCTTCAGCTTAAGGCAAGTGCTCTACCACTTGAGCCACAGCACTATTTCTGGTTTTCTGGTGGTTAATTGAAGATAAGAGTCTCATGGACTTTCGATGGCTTTGAACCGCGATCCTCAGATCTCAGCCTCCTGAGTAGCTAGGTTTACAGGCATGAGCCACTGGTGCCCGGTGAAAAGTAGTTTTTTATTTAATTTTTAAAATTGTTACTATAAAGGTGATATTCTGAGGGGTTGTAGTTATATAAGTTAGGTAAAGAGTACATTTCTTGGGGCTGGGGGTTTAGCTCAGTGGAAGGGCGCCTGCCTGGCGCGCGCAAGGCCCTGGGTTCAGTCCTCAGCCCTGGAAAAAAAAAAAAAGTACATTTCTTTTTGGACAACGTCATCCCTTCCTTCTCCCTGATTTTCCCTCCCATCCCCACTCACAAGTTATATAGTTCACTTTCAACATAGTGTTCAGTGAATACCATGGCTGCAGTTTTTGAAAAGTAGCTTTGTGAGCACAATGTGTTATTTAGTGTCTGCCCTCTCCTCCAGGTGTCTTGATGAGCACCTCACCTCCACTAGAGGAGGCCATGGCTACACTGTATGGGAAAACAAAAGCCTGGTCTCCTCAGCTTTTGTCTGAGGGGTTAGTGCTGTTGAATTTGCAAGTGAATCTCTTGTAGGGAGATGTCATTTGTCACCTTAAGCAATATTCTTTGTCCCCAGGTCCCATGATGTGAAAAATGGAGGTGAACTTACACATTCTCCCCACAGCCCTGGACAGTCCTCTCCCCGCCCGGTGATCAATCAGCGGGTTGTTACCAACAAGCAGGCTGCACCAGGGTTTATTGGACCACAGCTTCCCTCTCATATAATGAAGGTAACATTTCATAGGTGGAAACCTATCTTTATGTCAGTTTGAAAGAGGTGTCACTGTCCCAGCTAGTAATACCTCCCTCACCTCCATCTACAGCCTAGTTTCTCATTAGGTCCATTGTGTCAGAGATCTGAAGATCTCTAGAAAGCCTGAGATGCTGGTGTGATCCAGAGCTCGCTCTGAGTATGTATAGATCTTAGTTCCTACCACGGACTTGATGGGGGACGTGCAGGAGAATATTTGGCTTCTTCATGAGAGTTGGCTGTAGCAAAGTGCCCAGTTACAGGGCTGAGGTCATCATGTCCACATGCCTGTTTGCATCTCCTTCCCACCTGGGTGATGGTGCTCTCAGTGGCCCTGGCAGGACTGCAGCGTGCCTGTGTCATGTGCAGCAGTGCACAGAGTGGGGCCTCACTCTCCCAGTTCTGAGACTGAGGCAGCTTGCTGCACGGGGCTCAGCTGTGTCGCTGGTGCAGGATTGGGTTTGATCTGAATTCTGATGGTCTAGTTGTCACTTTTCTTTGGTGTTATTGGGCAGCATATGCACTCAGTGCCTCTGAGGGGGTGGCTTCTAGCTCGATAGGGCTGTGCTTTCCATGCCTATGCATAGGGTAGCAGCTATTTATTTTTCAAGATTTTTTTTTTAATCTTTTGAACTCAGCTTGCTAGGCAGATACTATACCATTTGAGCCCCTCTGCCAGTCTCTTTTTGCACTAGTTACTTTAAAAAAATTTTTTTGTGTGTGAAATTACCATACAGAGGGGTTACAATTACATGGGCAACATAATGAGTACATTTCTTATCAAGCATTGTTGCCTCCTCCTTTGTTTCCTCTTCCCATCTCTTCCCATCTCCCCCCCTCCCCCTGCCAATCCCCCCCATAAAGTTGTAAAGTTCGTTTTTCCACATAACGATTTGTACATCTCATTGTTGCAATGGGTCCACCTGTATCCCTATTTAAACGATTTGTTTTTTCCCTTCCCCTCCACAAATTATCCCAACATCAAATACAGTGAAGGCAGGGGTTATACTGTGGGGGAGGGATCACTAGTTACTTTTGAGATAGGCTTTCATTTTAAGACCTGGACTGTGATCCTTCTCTTTGTCCTTCCCTTTTTCTCTGGGATGATGAGTGCTTATAGCACTGTGGCTGCGTGGCCCTAGCCATCATATTTCCCATGGCTGGGGTGACAGGAGCATGCTCCAGCCACCTTGCCCAGGCCATTCAGCCATTGGTTGAGGTAAAGTTTCATTCAAGAATTTTTCTGCTCAGGCCGACCTTGAACACAATTCCTCCATCTCCATCTCCCAAGTAGTTAGGATTTTGGGCTTGAGCTACTTTTTTTTTCTTCCCCCAGTTGCTTGATTTTTGTGTGAAGCCTTTCACTATAACTGTTAAGATATCAGGTACTTCAGTTATGTAAGAAAACATGAAGGCTGGGCTGGGAAGGTGGCTCAGTGGTAGAGCGCTTGCCTTGCATGCATGAGGCCCTGGATTCGATTCCTCAGCACCACCTAAGCAGAAAAAGCTGGAAGTGGTACTGTGGCTCAAGTGGTAGAGTGCTAACCTTGAGCTGAATAACTGAGGGTCAGTGCCCAGGACCAGAGTTCAAGCCCCACGACAAAAAAAAGAAAACATGAAGGCCAACATGATTTGTCTACAAACTAGCTTTCACTGTGGTCATCATAGGGTTTAGCAATAGTAGTGGGGACATGGAACAACAGAACTGCATGAGAACTGGGGGAGCTGATAGGGAGGTGGCAAAGCCTGGTGACAGGACGTGGAGCCGTCTTTGTGTCTCTCCACATGGTGCTATCCCTGCGCTAAGGCCATTAGTGATTCTTGCTTCCTGGCACTTCCTTCTGCCTGAGCCGAGGTGCTCACAGGCGACCGACCACGTCCTCAGGGCCCTGACGATCACTGTCAGGTTTGGAACTGAAGTTGGCTTAGGGTTTGTGGTCTGAAAGACATACTTGTCTGATTTATTGTTTCATTGCCAGAAACCCTGGCCTGTGAAAGGCATGTGGTGGAGCAGGTGAATGAGAAGGTGTTTCTAGATAAGACAAACATGACCAAAACGAGCAGGCCTGAGGCAGCATGGATGTGGTTCTGAGCACTGATGCAGGCTTTTCTTCTTCCAGAATGCACCTCACTTAAATGGGACTGGGCCATTGAAGGACACGCCAAGCAGTTCCATGTCAAGTCCTAATGGAAACCCCAGTGTTAACAGGACTAGTCCTGTTAATGCTTCCACTTCTGTTCAAAACTGGTCAGTTAACAGGCCCTCAGTTATCCCTGAACACCCCAAGAAACAAAAAATCACCATCAGTATTCACAACAAGCTGCCTGTCCGCCAAGGTCAGTCCCAGCCTAACATTCACAGCAATTCTCTGGAGGCCCCTACAAAGCCTGCTCCCTCCTCCACCGTCACCAGTTCTTCTGCAATACAGTCTACCTCGAACGCATCGCCGATGTCAGTTTCTAGTAAAGTAGCAAAATCAGTCTCCCCAAGCGAGCCCTGCTCCCAGCCGGTGGTGAATGGCAAGTCCAAGCTGAGCTCCAGCGTGCTGGTCCCCTATGGCGCTGAGTCCTCCGAGGAGTCCGATGAGGAGTCCAAGGGCCTCACCAAGGAGAATGGTGCCAAGGAGAACGGTGTGGGCCCCACACTGAGCCCATTCCCCACTGCTCAAGAAGCGGAGGAAGGCGAGGCCTCGCAGCCGGAGCTGCTGGAGCCTGTCTCCCTAAATGGTGCTAATAGCGCAGATGGCAACCCGAAGGAGAATGGCCTGTCCTTTGACAGTGCCAGCTGCCATGTGCAGCCCTCTCTACTCTCAGAAAACCCCTTTTCCAAAGCAAATGGTCTTCCTGGAAAGGTGAGTGAGCTCTGCGTGGCGCTCCTGTGGCGTCGGGGAGCGCGGCTGGCAGCTGGAGGTGACCTCTCGCCTTCTCGTTGCAGGTGATACCTGTCCTTTTGCCATCTCTCCCAGAGGACAAAATCTTGGACACCTTCAAACTTAGCCACAAAGTCAAAGTTTCAGCGGGTGAAACAAGGTAAAACAATAGATGACTTCGTACAACTACTGAAAGGTAGTGAAAATACTACAAAAATAAAAAAGAGTAAATGAGAAGGGACGCTCGCAGCACGACAGTCAGTTGTGCCTGTGCTGTTCTGTTAGCTCTGTAGAAGTCTTAGAGCACACATTTTGAGTCCAGGAATGATTTGAACAGATCTGTAGAATTGGTTAATTTGCTTTTTTGTTTGTTTTTTTGGGTCCGGTCATGGGGCCTGAACTCTGGGCCTGGGCGCTGTCCCTCAGCTCTTCAGTTCAAGGCTAGCGCTCTACCACTTGAGTCACAGCGCCACTTCCGGCTTTTTTCTTTTTGCTTATGTGGTGCTGAGGAATCGAACTCAGGGCCTCTGGCATGCAAGGCATGCGCTCTACCACTGAGCCACCTTCCCAGCCCCGGTTAATTTGCTTTTTAGAAAGGTAAATCCTTTGTCTGTGGAGCTGTTTGTCTCTCTTAAGGATGGTGTTTATGCTGACAGCGTCTCCACCCATCTACCTCTTTTCTGGCTAGCAGTGCTACTGCACTTTTCTTTATTACTCAAGGCAGCTAGTGCTCTAGTAGAGCACTCAGCCACAACTCTACTTCCAGCTTTTTTGGCAGTTTATTGGAGATAAAAGTCTCACACACTTTCCTGCCCAGGCTGGCTTTGAACCTCGATCCTCAGATGTCAGCCTCCTGAGTAGCTAGGATTACAGGCATGAGCCACTGGTGCCCAGCTTCATATGCTCTTAATGAGGAGCAGCTATGTGAAAGTATTAAGGTTATAGTGTGGGAGTTGTGAACTTGGACAAATCAAGTACATTGTAAGGACCCTTGGAGAAGTATGGGATGAAATTCGTAGAGAATGTAGACTGTTCCTATCAGTCTATGCTGACCAAGGTGTAATTCAGGAATCAAATGGAAGGGCCAGTGACTCAGGATCCAGTCCACCCAAGGGCACATGTTCAGTAGATGGTGTGTGGCCACGTTCTGGCACAGTTCTGACCAAAACACAGTATATCCACCTCTCAGTCTTTCAGGAGTCAAATTCCTGGGACTCTCAGTGCTTGTGGGAACTGGGTTTTACATCCCACAGATGCCATGTGCAGGATGGGCCCTGGCAGGCAGAAACCCTGTAGTTAGGATTTACCCTTCCAGTGGGATGGGAGTCCTGTGGGCACAGGATGTCTTTTCCCTCCTGGTTCTTTCCTGAGCTCCCCCTGTGTAGCATATATGAGAGGAGGTACGGCTGCCTGCAGGCCATGTGCACCACAGCTGTATTGCAGCTGTCCCCAGCTCCCATGTGTGGGCACTGCACGAGGTGAGGTGCGGGCTTGGGTGTGTCAGGGCAGAATAAATTTCCTACAGAATGTTCTCCCCAAAGTCTCAGGAAGGCCCCAGGCTTAGGAACCTAGTCTAGTGTAAAACTCCCCTGCCTTTGGTTTTGTTTTTTGGTGCTAGTACTGGAGCTGAACTCAGGGCCTGTGCTCTCTCACATAGCTTTTTCCCTCAAGACCTGGGCACTACCACTTGAGTCACAGCTGCACTTCCAGCTTTTGGTGATTAATTGCCCAGACTGGTTTTATTTTTAAGTTTTTTTTTTTGGGGGGGGTCCGGTCGTGGAGCCTGAACTCTGGGCCTGGGCACTGTCCCTCAGCTCTTCAGCTCAAGGCTAGCGCTCTACCACTTGAG